AAACTCAAATTAATTTAAATAAAAATTAATAAAAACCAAATCCAGATGAAATTATTTGATTGACCATTATTAATCATTATCATGATTACAAAGAACAATAAAGTATATACAGTTTTAGCATTAAACTTTTTTTATTTGAATATGATAAACAACCATATAGTAGTTCTTACGTGAAAGTCCTTTCATTAATTTCTATTTCATTGTGATGCTACATACATACCAAGAGGGGATACCCTTGATTGCAAATATTCATGTTATGGCTTCAGAATGACACATTGATTGCAAGCAAGCATTCATACATTTAGGCGAGACTTTAATACCTTATTTCGTGAACTTGTTTTTTTATTAAAAGATCGTCAGAGGGCGGAAAAAGAATAAAAAATAAAATTTGGTCTTCTTATTTAGCAAATAGACTTGCCAAAAACATTCAGACGGAGGAGAAAATAAAAATAATTTTATTGGCGAATGTAAACAGTGTAGTAATGGGATGGTTAAATGCTTTAAATTTATATAATTAGAAATATGCATATCTTATTTTTAAAGGCAGCAGTGGGCATAATAAAAATAAATAAAGAAAATTTTTTTCCTGAAATTTCCTTGTTTCCGTAGCGGCAGGTAGTCCAATTGCCCAAAAATACAATTTTATTTTTATTGAAAATCATCATTATTGGTTGGCGGCAGGTTTGCTAAACAAGGTATAAATAGAGTCTTGCCTTAACAAGGCAGAATGATACAAACTCACTGGATGTATAGTATACTAAAAATGGAACAATTAACAAATAGATGAGTATAGTGCATACTTCTGCCCTGTGCCTGAATTATCAAGAAATACGTTGGCCGGTTATAAGCGATTCCATTATTTATTTTATGCAAGGGTAAAAAGTATTTTCTTCCCAAAATTTAATCATCTCTTTCTTAGATATTATGTATTATTCCACTAAATTTTATGATGATCCATTTAATAGTTTTTGCATAATCGTTAAAACACAGACAGCGATGAACACATAACCTCCTTTGGAGGCGGTAAAAATGATCTTTAGTATTTGAAATGCGCCAATGATGGAACCGAAACATACATCATTACATTATGTGATCAAATTATTTAGTAAACGTCTGTTGATTCTTTATAGATAAAGGCATTCTTCAAATGCATACCGACATGATTACTTTGTAAAAAATCCTGGTTCCTGCAGAAAAATACATAAATATTTGCATATAGCGTTTTAATATAATTATAGAAATAATCCTGATGAAATATTGAAAGGATGAGTTTTATTCAAGAGCCGGATGTATTATATGGCATAGAAGATCAAGAGACTCAATTTATGTAGGCCAGGATTAGTTGACAATGATGGGCTTTCTGGATGTCACTTCCAATTACCAACAATTACATAAATAATATTTAAAAACCAAGTGATGTGTAATGGTTCATGGAGTCCAATTTGTGACTCGAAAACAGGGACATAATGTACCAAATACCTTTAGAAGATTCCAGATGTGGAGCATCCCACTCACAGTTCACACTGCCTGGGGATATCAAGTTCAAACTCATGGATTAAGTGCTTCCAAATTGACCTTGAATGATGTTCTTCTCACTTGAAAAAATAAGTAATCAGGG